CTGGCCTCCCATTCTGCTTAGCTGCAGAGAAAGAGCTCAGCCTGAGGGTGTTAGCAGCTCCCACTTTGAGCCTGGGAGTGAGCTGGAGGAGGAGCCTTGTGGCTTTGCAGGTGTAGTCTGGGCTGTGGCCTCACTTTCTCTCTTTGAATCTTGTCATGGTGAGCTGGGACATCTAGGGAGTATCATACGCATCATTCACAGCAGTGCATTAAAAGGACTGTGGCCAGCAGCTTGAGGGGGGTGACCCTCCTCTAGTCTGTCTGGTGAAGCCACATCTGGAGCACTGTGCTCAGTGCACATTTGTGAGCTCCACAGTTCAAGAGGAGAGAGTCTAACAGAAGGCTACTAAAATGGTTGAGGCCCAGAGCACCTCCTGATGAGAGAAGGCTGGGGGGAGGGTCTGATCACTGCTTCTCAATAATGGGCAGGCGTCCAGAGAATGGGGCTGGGCTCTTTTTGGTGGTGTGCAGCGCAGGGACAAGGCACAGACTGGAACACGGGAAGTCCCATCTGAGGAGAAACTTTTTTACTGTGGAAGTAACAGATCGCTGGGACAGGCTGCCCTGGGGAGTTGTGGAGTCTCCTTTGGAGGTATTCAGAACCCACCTGGATGTGGGAGCCTGCTTTAGCAGAGGGGTTGGGCTGGGGAATCTCCAGATGTCTCTTCCAACCCCTCCATTCCTGTGATTTCTGATACAGACTTGAGATACTCTACAATCCAAAATAGGAATTACTGTGGGTCCACTTCAGGCCTGTGCTGAAGAAATGACTGCTGGAGCATTCTGTGAAGGTCACCACTCACTTGGCAGGCATGCTTTCCCAGTGAGAACTGTGTGCAGTCATTTTGAATCTAGCTGATCAGGGTCCCTGTAACCCACACCTGCTTGTGTTCTCTTGTTTTGAGTGCTCCACATAGAGTTTTTCTCCCAGCCTGTGCCTTCCTTGTCTTAGTTGCTGTTGGGATGCTGCAGACTTAGTTAATTTAGCTGTATCTATTTGTGACAATAAAAATGCCACCATATGCATTCTTGCAGAGAATTCAGGAAATGTCATGCTGCTCATTGAGCAAAAATTAGTTGTGATGTCTCGAGGCCCAGAAACATATTTTTTTGCTGCCTGAAATTTTCCTGTGTAATAGCATGTCCCTGATATGACCTGCTGGTCACAGTCCTTTTAATGCACTCCTGTGAATGATGCATATGATACCAGGACACAAACATTTACAGAGTCGTGGGCACACCGGTATACCTCAGTCCTAGATGTCCCAGTTCACCATGACAAGACTCAAAGAGAGAAAGTGAGGCCACAGCTAGACCACACCTGCTGTTGTTTTCTTTGATGAAATGGTGTTTACATTGATTGACTGTGCTGCAAGGATGCTGTTAAAGCAAATGAGTTGAAAGATTTTTCAGACTCATAGAAATCGGAATATTGTAAAATACTGTCTGTACTTTAGAGTGAAAGGAGCAAAATTCTTAGATCTCAATCCAGCCTTGGCTGCTGTGACTATACCATCAAGTAATTAACTTCTTAAATGGAATGTATCTCCTCGAGGCTTCCCACCCTCACCCACATCACAGTCCCTGCAGGAGAGGTATTGCAGGATGCTACTGCTCTGGAATATCCTGCAAGCAGTATACCAGATTCATACCTGGACAGCTTATCTTAGTCCATCCATAGAGAAACAGATCCTTTTGATGTTTACCTCTAATCCATTTTTAGAGTGCAATTATGTAAAAAATCATTTGGCATTTGACTGTGAGCTCATCAGAAAGTGGTGTAAGAAGCAAAGATTAAAAGGAAAGATAAAAATCCATTTCCCTTTGAAAGCTGAAGATTGTTCTTGTGTTTAAATTGATAATCAAACAAATTAACATGCAGCAAAGTATGCAGGAGTGCAGAAAGGACTAAGTGCCCCCATTGCACTGAGAATTTGAAAGGGGAAGATGTGGCATGTCCAAAGGTGTTGGTACACACATTGAAGGACTGTCTTTTCCAGGCTGTAGCTGTGTGTGTTCAGATCCATCACAGACAAAAGGCTGTTTATGAGAAAATAAGAGAGACCATTTATCCATCTCTTTGCTAAGCAGGAGCCAGGAAATAAGAAACATGCAGCAAAGGTTTTTGAGAGCTGAATGTTGAGGAGAAAACATTGTGTGGCTGTGCCAATGATGGGAAGCAGTAATGGCGTGGAGGAAATTGAATGAAGTTTTCTCAGTAGACAGGTTGGAATCAGCAGAGGAAAAATGACTGCTCTTGGAAAATATTTCTGATCTGTAAGGGGCCTTTGGGACACCAGTGCAGTACTTTTACCTAACAGCAATACAGTGAGTAAAAAATTCCAAGCGTAAGCTCAGTGTAGTTCATGAATTTGAGAATAAAGCCATAGTGTGACACTACCTTAGTTTCCCTATTGCACACCTCATCTCATGCTGCAGATCACCTGGGCTTTCATTTCCCATCCTCCAATGCAGTTTACTTGCCATTTCTATCTGATAATTGAATATGATAGAGCAATTAATAAACCTACCATTGTTTTCCAAAATTGAAGTAAAAGTGGTAATTTGGGTGGTTTTGGGTTGAATTGTACCTGTTCGTGTGTTGCTGATTCTGTTCTAGCAAATGCTGAGGTACTTCACACTTCTGGGAGGCCAGCTGGACAGTGTCCACATGCAGTTGCCCATTAGGTTTTAAATCATGAAAATCAGTGAAGTTATTCATCCTCAGAAATGAGGAATGAAGAAGAAAAAAATCACATTTCTGAGCCATGCATTCAATTTCACATGGATTAGTCTATCAGAACAGGTGCCCAGGCTCACCACGAGTTTTTAGAGCTCAGCAAGGCCTTGAATTCCTCTCTAGAGCCTACATAAAATGTACAAGGAAACAAAATCCTCAAATTCAGGCAACAAAATGCAGTGGCAGAGGCAGAACCATGATAATAGACCAGCTATATCAAATTAGCTTGAGTCATCTCACAAGTAGAGTATTATTAACATGTACCCAGAGATTATATTAAATTGAAAGGAGTGGTCAATTAAAAAATCTTATTTTGCTGTGCTGCAGGAATTCTGGGATAGTTCTGCTTAATCAGTAGAGGGAAGTTGGACAGATTTATACGGTTGCAAAATTTACTTCTAAATCTAAGTGGACCTAATTTGTCTACATGAGCGTCATGAGGAGAGTGCAAGATAGCCACGTTCCTTGAAGCCAAGGTGGAACTGAGCCTGGAAAACACTCAACTTCTGATGAGAAGGAACTTTAAAATGATGTAGTGTTAAAGAAGGATTATGTTTTATACCTAACCTTTATTTGAAAAGTTTGGGTTTTTTAAAGTCAGCTATCTCATGTCTTCCCAGACTAGAATTTGCTCAGAGCATGCATTCCTCCTCAATGTACTGCCCCAGGCAGAGAAGCAGAAAGGCAAAGCATTAACTCAAACTTCTCAGTATTACCATAAGTCAGACAATAAATGACTTGAAACAGTGTCACTTTCGAACTGCTTTAGTACAGATGGTCTGCTTCTTAATTCCCTGCCTCATAGTTAGAGAGCTGAGCTTATTGAACTGCTTGCCAATTCTGTTAAGAGGAGACGCAGTGAAATGAGATAAAGGCAATATTTTAGTGTGACTCCCATGAATTGACTCCTACCCCCCAGATGCCATTATTGACATACATTTTACAACTACATCTCTCACCATCAGCAGTTAGAATTGCAAAGAGTTTGAGCATACTTGGCTTGAATGTCAATAATCAATAAGGATACTCATCTCGCTTAATAAGGATAAATTTTTGCCCTTGAAACAGCATACCATCCCAGCCAAGTGAGCTAGAATTTGTTCCTTGAGGTTTGTGCTAATTCTGTATCTGTGTACATTTATGTGCACACGCTTCAGTAATAGCTTTCTTTGACTATTATGGATTCCTCTTGCATGTCTTATAATAATGGTCTTTTTATTAATCCATTTCAGAAACAGCTATCATATTCCATGGAAAAAATGAATGTTCTGTTCACAAAATATATATTTATTAGGCAAGAACAGTTAACGTGAAAATCAATAGATCCCTGGAGATTTACATTTTGGTGTTTTGGTACATTAAGCAGGACAGATGGTAAATAAAATAGATCAGAACTCTTCCTGTGGCCTTCATACTGCCCTGTGTGTGCAATCTATGGCTGACTGGCTCAACTATGGTGTAAAGAGCAATGACTTCATCCAGCCTTCCTCGCAGGAATTGTCCCAAGCATGTTCAGCAGTACCACCACACCAAGCCAGGATATGGAGGGAACCATGCAAGTGATGTAATATTGTGGGTAATTGCCTGTGCTGCCTTCATATCTTGACAATTTTTACTGGCTTAGTACTTATACAGCATATGACCTCCAAAATGTTTGGTGACCTCAAGGGTTTTGCAACTCCTGACAAGTTTCCAGTGGAGGGATATCCTTCATCTAAATCTCTTTTCAGAAGTGGCAAGAGCTCTGTTGCCTGTATGGCAGACTCAGACAGATGTATTTCTAAGAAGGTGTAAAAGCTGTAAAGAATATTCAGCGTTGTGGGGGCTTGCTGGTAGAATGTTGGGATGGAAGTCTGCAAAATCACCTTCCGTTTTGCTACTTGGATAGAAGCTTTCCATCTATGAAGTCACTCCTGTCTGTAAATTTTAAATGGTAATCCCAGGACATGACATTCTGTGTTAATAGTAGTAAAAATAAGTGCTTCTGTGATCCACAGTCATGCTAAAGCTTTCTTTGTTCCCTGTATTCCAGAAATTTAGTATAAGGCCTTAAATTTTGAGTGTCTTGCTCCAGAACATGAGAACAGCAGATCTTTTTCTTGGCAGGGAGCTGGGTCATGGCATTACACCTCAGCTGTGGAAGTGCAGTGTCCCAGAACGCAAAAGGGTGCAGTAGTTTCTGTGGGCTGGAACGAGACACTCTTGTTTCAGTATTTGCTTATGTCACGTTTAACCTTCTGTTTCTTTCCCTTTCCTGACAGATTTTTATTGGGGAGATATCCATGTATTTCATAAAGTCAACCAGAGAAGCCCTAATTATCCAAGAGAAAACTATTTTGACTGGAGAGTGCTGTTACCTGAACCCACTGCTTCGAAGAATCATACGTTTTATAGGTAAGCATCTTTAGCACTGCAAATTTACTTCCTGTTTGCATTAAAATAGAACAAAAGATGCTAACCATCTACAGCACAAAGTTAATTAAGCTGCGAAATCTTTGCAGGTAAATTCCACTTTAGAGGAATTGTCCCCCTCGGGATTTGCAAGGTAATGTTTGAAATGTGCCATATCATGCTGCCTGGGCCTGGTTTATATCCTGCTCTGCTGAGCTTAATGCTTCTTCTGGACCCTTGGAGAAAGGTTATGCCAATCAAATCCTCATATGAATAATTCCATGATTGCTATTCTGTGTGCGATAGCCATTTTACTTACAAATCAGTTCTCAGCAGCCCATCTCTTTGGATTTTTCTTTTTTATCTCTAATTTTAACTTCTACAGCTCGGGCACATAATGTTCAGCTGAGCACAGCATAAAAAAGGCCAGAGCCCACATAAAAATAGCATTCATATTTTTATTCTGTGGGGGTTTTTTTTTAGATATTTCATTGCATTAGTTGTTGAGAAAACAGTGAAGAAATTCTATCAATAAAGTGTGGAGTTTACTTCTATTGTACTTAGAAACCACTATGCCCTTTTCACAAGTTCAATGTAAAAATGCCTCAGAGACCGCACTGAGGTGACAACCCTCTAGGTCCTTTTGGGGCAGGAAGAGGGAAGGGGTTGTAGCTTTATTTCCGCCCTGGCACTGGCAGTGGACCTAACTATTCCCTCAAGGTTTCCAAATCCTAAACTGAATTAAAAGCTGAGCTTTAAAAGTAGTAGCAGAACAAAAATTTGAAAATACCTGGATCGTTTCTTCCCTGTCAGTACTGATTTCTTGAGGGGAAAAAAAAAAGCAAAGGTCTGGTGTGAGCATGGTGAAGGGCGCATGGTTTGCGTACAGCATGGCCCCACCTGCAGGTTTTCGTTCTCAGCAAATAATTGCCACAAAGGTTGAAGAGCCATGGTTTTCTTTCTCTCTCTCCTCTCTGTGCCTCCTGCTCTATGCATGGAGGTTAGGAAGCGAAATGCTTTTTTACCTTCTCACACACTGTGGTGTATGAGGACAAGCCACCTGTGGTTCATTACCCAAGCCTGTCCCGTGTGCTGCTCACTACCACAGAAGACATTAAAAGCGAAATACCCTTGAACTTCAGATACCCTCTAGGATATATTGATGGATAGTAAACTGCCATTAAGAGAAAAGCAGGGTACTGGACTCCACTAAGTCACTCAGGGCTGATGGCCATTGCAGCACATTCAGCATGCTTTGCAGAGCCATAATCAAATATTCTGGCCTGCGGGATCAGTACTAAAAGAGGTTAAACTGTGGAGGCTAAGCACTTGCTCTGTGTGTTTTCTTATAATTGCACTTTTCTGCCCTGCTTTCACTTGAGCTAGCTTTATTCCTATGCATTTCCTCTACTGTTTTGGTAGATGAGGAGGGGACAATGATGATACAATAGACCCTCACAGAGGAGCAGGATATGGACCTGATAAAGAAATCAATCTTTGTATCTTTGTCTTCTAGAGAAAAAGTTGACTTTGTTGGAAATAGCTTCAAGTGCTGGTTTTATTTTAAACTACACTGATTGTACATTTTTGTCAGAAACCTCCCTGCCTCTGCCAGGAAATGATTGAAAATCAGGTGAAATCATATATGAAACAACCAAAAATAACTGCTCTTCCTTTATTGAAATTCCAAATATGTTTGGAAACATGAAAGGGACTGGCCAGCTGTTGCCCACGCTGGAGCATCAGGGAAGTTAGCTTCACAAGCTTCTCATTCCAGAAAGAGGTTTACCTGGATGATGTTTCTATGATTCTACGGATGCTTGGCTACGGAGAGACTAACAAGTTACTCCTACATGGATTTCCTCACGAATCTTTTCTTCCTAATATGCGGTCCAAAAGTAGCAGAAATATAAAATAGGCTTTCTCCCAGGACATCCTGTGAGTGGTATGACTTGCTACAAGGAACTTTGCTGCCAATTTAGTCTTGTTACAGATTTATTTGAATTTTAAAATCTGATCATTCTTTTTGACCCAGACATGGAAGCAAGAAACATCAGTAAGTAACTCCAAAAAGTAGTAATTGAGCTCTGTTGAATATTGCTTCATCTTTTAAGTCGTGACAGTTACTATTAAACAGGATGGGAGATGGGAAATACTAATCATTGTGCCTGCTGTTAACATTTAAGGAAAATGAACACTAATTTCAGAAGGGTACATTTTGAGAGCTTTTAGTCTGTCCCTGACTCAATAGCTAAGGATGCAAGGAAAAATGGATCTTTAAGAATAAGGGAATAAATTTGTTTTTCATGTGACAAGCAAGGAGTTTCAGGCTGTCTTTAGTGATATGAAAGGTGGGCACTCACGCCACATTATCACTGCGGGATCTGTTGCATTTATTATTTGCTAGACTTGAGCTGATTCTCCTCTTGCTTTTACTTCGTATATGCACAATAAAGCATATACTTTTTTTGTACTCACTAGTGGTACAAAGAATGAAGCAAAACCAAAATTCCACTATCCCCTGGGATGTTCACAATCCCTCATGATTATTTTAATTCATGTTCATACCTTGCCTGTTTTGCTTCCTACTTATTATTCTTTCCCCAGGCCCTCACAGTTGTCTGTCCTAGAGTTCTCTCTTTATGAGTTTCATGGGGACTTTAACAATTGAGCTTTATCTTAAATTCCCCGTTGGTTCTTTGTCCACAGAAAAGTGGACAAATTTTTTTTCTTTCTCCCTGGCCCAAATATTAGTTGTTTCACCTTTTGTAGTGAAAAAATGCCTCTCAACTTCTTTCAACATATATCAAGTCCTTTATTGCATCCTAGATGGGCGAAAACTGCTGCGTTCCTATATTTAGAAAATCAATTCCTTTATGAAAGAAAGAAAGCAGTTTTAGCTTGGAAACCTCAGACTTTGTTATACATTGCAATTTGTTCCATCTTCCTCTTTTATATTTCTTCTACAGATTTTTTTTTTTTTTTTTTTTTTTGAGATTTTCACTTCAAATAAGGGGTGTGCAGTTGCTTTGGAGTCATTTTTTCTGTCTAAAATATCAGTGCGGCACTGCTATCCTTTACTCACATCTCTCCCCTCCATCCACTCCTCAGCCCTCACAAGAGTTTTTTTAAGAACTACAGATACCAAAATGCACAGTTTTTATCCCAGACCTCTGAGAAATCAGGGAGGAAGAGTGATGGTTCCCTGGGCTTCAGCCTCTTCTCCCCATTGCACAGTATTTTGTACTTTTATTCCCCTCTTCTTGTGGTGATTTGGTGATTTCCTGATCAGTACCCTTGTTAACATCTTGCCCTATGTTTCATTCTCTTCCATGCTATACTTCATTATTTGTTTTACAAACAGAGGTATACATTATTTTAATGCTCCTTAGTGGTCTTAGTCAAGGATTTAGTGTGTTCAGATACAGCCACAACAGCACCCCCAGGACTGAGATTCAGACCTCACTGACTCAGTCTGGCAGGGTGACCAGAGTGTGTATTTTGCTGCTTTTCAATATTGGTATATTAGGCTTCTAATCCATGTGATTAAGTTGTAGACCTGCAAAGCTCTGATAACATGCAAGTAGTCTCTCTCTAGATATTCGGAAATGCAACTTGCTTCATGTATTTGTTACCAGTGGATTTTACTCTGGAGCTGCATAATTTGCAGTTAACAAATGGTACAGATCAGCTTCTGCTGACAGCTTAATTTAAAGCATGGGGCCAGCTCACAGTAGGCAGCTAAATAATGAAATTAAGGCTTTATTTTGGCAAATTAAGGCCTTAGTTTGGCAAATAAAGGTTTACAAGATTTACACACACACTGACTTTATTGTAATGGGACAGATAAACCCCAGAGCTCTGATGTCTATTCCCTGTGCAGCTGCGAGACATAGTTAGCCTGACCTTATCCTTCTGTCTGCTTCTACAGTGACACAGTGCACACAATGTCATTAACTGACTGTCTCGCAGGAGGGCTCAGCCAGTATTTGGATGTGCAGCTTAAACTACCATAGGTCTCACTTCTTGTCACTGAAGAACCTCCACAGTCAGAATTGGGTCTCTGTTGTGGAGAAAGCCCAAACTTTGCTGCTCCCAGGCTCTAAGCTGACTGCTGTCTGGGTGAAAATTGAGAGTCATAAACCAGCAAGCAAAGAGAAATCATCTGCACCTGTGGAGAACAGTCTTGAGGCTCCAAAGCACTTTTGCACTGAATTTCTTCTTATGTCTTGAAGAAGCAGTATTTAGGAAGGACACTCATGAAGGAAGCAGGTAGACAAAGGAGACAGTAGATGCCTGGGACTTGGTAGAATCTTTCCCAGGAGATAAAAACTGATTGTGGGATCTGATTATGATTGCTGAAGAAGCTTGCTGGTGAGCCTTTGCTGCAATAACAGCAAGCAGTAAATTTTCCTGCAGCCTCCACCCCTCTAGTTCTATAATGGCTAATAATACAGGTCTCCTTTATAAATACACATTAAAATATAAAGATAAAGGGTGGTTTAGCAGAGTCTAGGTTGCAGGACTAAAAATCATATAGTCATTAAATGGTTGGGTTGAAATGGACCTTAAAGCCCTACCAGCCCCAAGCCCTTGCTGTGGGCTGGTTTCCTCCCACCAGCTTAGGCTGCCCGGGCCCCATCCCACCTGGCATGGAGCACCTGCAGGGATGGGGCATCTACAGCTGCTCTGGGCAGCTGTGCCTGGACTTCATTGCATTCTGAGTGAATATCTTCCTAATATGGCCTTCCTGAATGTCATTAGGTTCTTACAGATCCACATCTCAAAGCTGTCCTGGTCCCTTTGTATGCATCCTTTCCTGCTATCAACTGCTTCACGCAGCTTTGATGACTTAATTGGATGCATAGGACCATTAGAGGGAAAATTGCAGAGATTGGTTGAAGATCAGCGTTTGTGTAGAACCAATTTTTCCAGGGACTCCCTCCACTGAAACTCTAATGCTCTTCAAAATTCATAGGAATGGGAAAGAGGTTGTGGAAATGCAAGTAGGCATGTGTAATATGAAAGTTTTTTTTTCTGGGAAATTAAAAGTGTGATAAATTCAGACATTAGACTGTACACTGGGAGAAGGAGCTGTTCCTCAGTAAGTGAACTTTGTAGGAGACCCGACAACATGTTACTCAAGAGCACAGCTTTTGATGCCCCCTGAGCTATTGAATACATTGTTTCTTATGTCACCTTATCTAATGTTTTGTAGGTTTTTTTTTGTATTAAAGTATTTTGCCTCCTCATTCCTGCTTCCAGCCATTGACGTCTCACTTCTTTCTTCCATTGTCTTTTCAGCAGCTTGTATCCAACTCCTTTCTTTGTTTGTTTGTGTGTGTTTTGTTTCAAATCAGTGGCATTTAAAATATCTGTAGTAGTGAGAGTTTCCATGGAGTCAGAAGCAGCTGCAGCCAATGATGTCAGAGAGATGCAGAATGGAAGAAGAGAGCTTGGGCAAGAGTTGCAGGGATAAAACAAGTCAGCTAAGGTAACAGTGAGGGAGGAGAGTTGTATCCTTCTTCAGGGCACATGCTTCTGTTAGCCAAAGCAGTAGACAAAGCTGGAGGTGATAACGCTTACAGACAGACATACGGGGAGTTTGGTTGGTGCTGCATGTTAGACTCAGAGAGAGCCCTACAGTTAAGGATTTATGCTTGGAGATTTATTTGGCAGCAATTTATAGGAGATGTAAATGAAGAAGCTAAACCTGAAGCATTCAGAAATGAAGCTGATGAAGATTTAGATGCTTCCTCCAAGTAAAGTTTTGTTGAGCTATAAGGATATTGTCTGTCCTCAGCATTTTTGAGCAGATCTTTCATTACTTAAGGGTTCTTTCTGCAGCCAAACTGTGTGATACACGTGGATGAGGGGAAGGAGTGGCTTTAAGTAACTTAAATAATCCTGTATGCATTCATTGTGTGAACAACCAACTACACAGACTGTGTTTTTACAGCTCCTACTTTAATGTGCCTAGTGCTGTGTATGTCCTTCTTCAGCATGTTTCAAGTTATGGGCTAAAGTTCATTCCCAGGTTTTCTGGGTCAGAATGAACACAGTGTGATAAAGCACTGCTCCTTAGCAGGATGGTATCACCTCCATTAAACCTGACCACCAAAGTATGCAAGTTCTCCTGCTCTCTCTGTGGCACTGTATCACAAACTTCAGCTTGGATGACTGTAAAGAGCAAAGGGCTGATTACCCTTTCCATGAAGCCTTCCAGCAGTGGCTTGTCTGCGTCCAAAAACCTAGCAACCACATCACTGCATTCTCAAGCCCTGGTCAGTTAACTTGGCTGCTGTAGGTCATTGAACAAATTGGCTGAACAGATGGATTCCTGATGTAAACCATCAAGGGACTCCATCACGACCAAAACTCACTGGTGTTAGACTTTAAATCAATTAGAACCAGCTCCATTGCATAGTCTCCAGGGAGCAAGTGATGTATAATCAGTCTGCAAGGCCTCCATCCCTGCTGCACATCGCTGAGACTTCCATAATGCACAGTTTGGCAGAACTGCATGAGGGGAATTACTGAGATCAATATGCATCACAATGGAAAGCTTGACAAAGGGTTCAGCCATGGCTTGTTCTGCTGTTCCGCAGAGTACTGCAGCCCTCAGCAGAGTCTGAGCCAGTGCTTTCAGCACTACCAATTATCGGGAAAATGCAGATACTGAAATTCTCTTTTTCAGAGCAAAATGCTGCCTGTGTACCTGTGCACTGCACAGGAAGTGAAATAACTGTGTGAAGCCCATGAGCTTTTCCTGAAACACCTCAGTTTTTCACTTGTACCAACTTTGCCATGGAGGCCATGGGTCAGACTGCAGTATTTGGCTTCTACACTTCCTATAAGTATTATAAAGAGCTGGGTAATAATCCTCATTGCATTCCCCGTGATTTGCACAACACATCAAAATGATACCACTTAAAGCAAGCTTTGTCTTTTATTAATTTTTTATTTTTATTTTTAATTTGGTCAAAGAACAGTACATAAAGCAAGATTTTTCTGGCATGAATTCATGCTTTGCCAGCCAAAAAGCTATCTACAGGCTTTTTCGTTTGAACTTGCTTATGCGCTGCTTAATGTAGATGAGGAATTCATGTCAGTGGTTGTAAAACCATGGGTTTACAGTATTTACAGAGGGATAAAGGGATTAAAGGAGCAGAGTCAGCACATTCCATTTTCCTGTCGGCCAGTCCTGCAGTCTGGGACCACTGACGCTCCAGCAAGGGACTTATGTTGCAACATGGCTATGTCAGCCACAGCACCTCGGTGAGTGGGCAGCACCAGGGCGTCCTACTGAACTCTTGTATCATTCATTGCTCTTTAGTTATGGGCTTCATTTCACATTCCTGTCCATACAAATGTCCCGTGAAGGTAGGCCTGTCATGTTGAAAAAGATCTAACTGTCAGTTATGGTCCTGCTGATTTTTGTTACCTACAGGATTACAATATTTGCGGAACTGTCCTTGATTCTTGTTAATTTGATATAAAACATTTTCAATGTTGTTACATTCCTGACGCCCTGTTATTTTTGTTTATCAGACTGCACCAGCACTTTTTTCCTTATTTAGGTCAGTACAGACAAGCAATGCAGTTACTGTAACCATTGTAGCTCTCCTAAGATAAGCTATTTTCCTTGGAGTGCCCACTCTTGGTTGTTCTTGAATACAATCTCATGTTCAAATGACTTTTGTGTACTAAGCTGCAGGACAGAGGGGGCAAAAATATATGATCCTCAGCATTCCTAGACCAAAAATGAATAGTTAGTTAGTTTGTTTGTTTTTACATGACACTTTAAACTATTCTAGTGATGGGTGGGGGGAAAGGTGAGCTGATTTAGTCTTTTGAGACGTTTGGGTTTGACATTACTGGAAACCTTGGTATGTAGTGAGCTCTTTCAAGTCAAGATTCATCTAGATGTTCATAGCAGCTGTGTTAGTTGCTGAGAACACTCACCGGGAGTCAATGGAGGATGTGACAACTGCAAGTTTCAAGCAAGGGATTCTCCACAAACCTGCAAATGCTCCTGGCTTCAAGTGCACACTGTCTGCTTTAGCATTTGAGGGAATGTGCTTCCGCTAACATAAACTGAGCTGGGCCTGTGTGGAAATTTCTCCTGCATCAAAGCAGTGAGAATTTATCCTAAAGGACCTGGCAAATATTCCTGTATCAGAACCTTAACAGTATAAGATTACAGAATAATCACAATTCAAAAGACAAAAGATGTTTGAAGGTAATGGCAGTATTGTGTCGTAGTGCAGTACTACTCCTTTAGGCTTTTATTTTATAGCTCAGGGTCACTTATTACCATTTTTGGCCCAGATCTGGCAAAAATTCGTAAATATTCTTAAAAATTTGTGCTTGACATTCAGACTACAAAACTTTGCAGCATAGATGCAGAGTTTTCAGTGAAACCTATAACTTACATTTTGGTTTAGAGCTTGACTTACAGAAATCTTTATTCTCATACTTGCCATGTTCAGACTTCTTCCCATTCCTTCTGGAGGTACTGAGATAAGCACCTGCTATAGTTCAAGCACTCGTCGTTCTGTGTCATACATTTGATACAGGGCTCTGCTGGAGTCAGCAGGGGCCTTTTCCAGGTAATGACAGCAGTGTTTGCTCCTTCACCTCTTGTTATATTTCTTTCTTCAGGTACCAAGATTGTCTTAAACTTATCTGATTAATAACTGTTTTTAACCTTTCCTCACAGGAGTGTTTGCATTTGGACTTTTTGCCACTGACATATTTGTAAATGCTGGCCAGGTTGTGACTGGGAACTTGGCTCCATACTTCCTGACTGTGTGTAAACCCAACTACACTGGAAATGACTGTCGGACCCACCACCAGTTCATCAACAATGGCAACATCTGCACTGGGGATGTGGAGGTGATTGAAAAGGCCAGGAGATCCTTTCCATCCAAACATGCTGCTTTAAGCATCTACTCAGCTTTATATGCCACGGTGAGTAGGGGGGATGATTGCTGACTCGTAGGAGAGTCAGCATCATACATCCAAATGGAGTCACACAGTGTATTTTTGAAGGAAAAGAGGTTTGTTTCAGGAATAGCTTTCCTCTTCATCCATTCAAGAATCCCCTTCCATCTCTGTTGTACTAGTAGTAATAAAAGCAAACCAAGTTCTCATTGCTTCTGTAGCACCATGTAATTAGAGGCATGAGCTTTTAATCTCATTTTTGCTGCTGATTTTCTCAGATGCCTTCAAGTAACTTCAATTAACTTAATCAGAAATTTCTTCCCCCTGTAGCCAGACCCAAATGAGTGGCAGTCTCTCTATAGGTCATCTGAATTTGAGAAAAATCTTGACAGGTTATTTACTGAATATTTTACCCTTACTTTCGTAGCAAGTGATAAAACATCCCATTATTGCTATGTAAAGAAGAGGCCACCCACTGTTTCATTTACTTTCTGTTTCCATTGAATTTTGTGTGAATAATGACTGATACATAAACTGTTAACTCCTTTGATCAGGAATTGTTGGAAAGTATTTGCAAAGCTCATAATATTTTGCATGCAATACTTCTGAGCAATACAAACTATGCGTGAAATAGAGTTCCCAGCAGACTTTGCAGTGTTAGAGAAGCTGTTTTCATTATGATTGTGGGCATGGTGGTGATTGGCTAATGGTTGGATTAGATAATCTTTGTGGTCTTTTCCAACTGCAGTGATTCTGTGATTCCATGGTGGATATTAGGATGGCTGCTTCAGGGTTCAGATTGGGTACGCCTTCCATGGACTTTGTTTTCTAGGAAGGCACATCTTCTGGGAACGGCTGATTTCAGCTGAAGGAGAGTACTACTTTTCCATCCTGAGTTTAAGTCTCCAGCAGTTCAGTGTTTCTTAGCCCTAGGCTGTGAAACACCTGGGTTGCTTTCTCCTTGGTACTAGAGGGAAGCGAATGGCACGAAGGGGGATGATTGCCTTCAGCCCTTGTGGGACAGCTGCATAAATAAGAGAGGCCTGCATCTGATGCTTAAGGTCTAAGGCATAACTCTTTCTGAGCCACAAGTTTTCAGTCTGCAGTACAATTTTAGCCCATACTGCCATACAGTATGGGTGCCTGAGAGCATCCTCCAGCACTAAAGGTGCTGTCACTGATTCTCAATAATCCTTTAGAGACATCTCTGTACTGAATTGTTCATTACTTTGCTAGTGACAGTGCTCCCATTGTAGTTGGTTTGGCTTTGTGTTGTTCTTTTCCATAATGTGGGTTTTATAATTAATCAAATAGGCTTTTTTTTTTTTTTTCTTGTCTCCTGCCAAATAAGCTGAGAACCCAAAATATGATTCTTTTAATTCCTTCAGGCACAGATGAAATTTGTATGCCTAAAGCAGGGGAAGAGTAAAAACAAACAAAAAACAACAAAGAAAAGCCAAACAGCAGCACTGGCTTCCATGCTTACATCAGAACTGGAATTATATCTAATGCAATTTTATTAGTCTTCCAAGTAAGCCCTCCCAGGCAGGGTTGTCTCAATACATAGTGCAAACTGCTGTATAATTAGTAATGTGTGCTTCTAAGGACATTACTCAAGAGAAGATGACATGTTAGAAATATTCCTTAGTTTTTGAACATTTCTGACCCCCCCCCAAACAAGGGAAGAAAATAAAATGTCATGTTGCGTATAGGTATCCTGGTTAGACACTCTGAGAAAGGTCATAGGAGAATCAGCTACAAGGGCATCCAGCAAGTGATATTCAACCTGAACACATAAAATTAAAGTATTTCACTGCATTTAAATGATCTCTTATTGTAGCCTCTTGCTAATTCTCCTGTTTGTTTTTTCTGAAGTGAGAGCAAGCAATGAGAGCTTTTGTACAATCACAGGATGGTCTCTGTGGCTAAAGGCTACAACAAGGCAGTCTTGTCAACATTTTGGTAGTATTTTTAGGATTCTTAAGCTAGGCACTGACCTAGCAGTATCCACAAATAACTCCTTCTGTCACTTCCATCTGACTAGAAGACTCCACCTCATGATGGTTGTCACAACCTAGACAACACTAGAGTGATGCAATACTCCTAGACAGTAAACTTGCAGTGTATGGGACATTCTAAATACCTACAGCAAGTCCTTTCAGTAACCCAGGTCACTGTGACCCCTCTGTCAATTTTCTCCATTTGTACACATACACCTGCCAGATTAATTGTTGAAATTCAGGGCTCTGACACTTAAGGAAACTTCAGTGAACATCCAGGAGGTTGCATAACATTCTGTAAGACAGACAGTTGTCATTGGCTCTTAGTGTAGAAATTTCCATGGCAAAGATTATCTATAAAGCTTGCAGGACACCAGTTTTTCCAGAACTGGGCTGAAATTGTAATCTTTCCAGGGAAAATAAATCTCCCTCACTTCTACATCAGGACTAGGCAGACTCCTCCACTCAGCCTTCCTCAGCACAGATACACCATATGTTATAAATATATGTGAGCATACATTTACATACGTGTATAAATACAGGCATATATATAAATGTCTGTCTATTTTAAACTTGCAAATGAAAAAAATTTCTTGGCTGTCTATGCTTTGGTCTGTCTGAAAATAGATGGGAGATGCGGGATGAATGCTACTATCACACATTGCACGTTGCTAAATTCATCATTTGAGAGTGCTGATAAATACACTAAGGAAGCTGAATAAATTATATAGATAAAGCATATGTTAATTATTTTTGTATATCAATTTTCTCCTTTCCTCACATCTTTTTATATTCATTTCCTCTTCCCCTCCCTCCCCATACACACACACATCAAACAATTCATTTTCACATGTAGTGTTTTGTAAATAATTTTACCTCATAGATAGTCCAGGGAATTTATCAAACACCCTATAGCGTGTAGGAAATCAAATTCAAGCAATTTTCACTGCGATTTTGGGCTCTTACATAAGGCTTTGAAAAACTGAAGGGGCAAACATATTGTGAGAATCTTCAAAAAGCGTCTTTGCATTATGGACTAAAGCAATAAAGCTAAAGCCACACTGATCCCAAGTTTTCACCAAAATGAAGAATCTCACCCAGTAATTTCCAAGCTCATTTGATTATCTGTGGATGAACTGGAGCACAGATCCAGAAAAAACAGCCTGTCTCGTTTAAAACCCTCCTTGTGATAGAGAATCTATCACTTCCCTTGGCAGTCTGTTTTCATGGTTAATTATCTTCATTGCTAAAAATGTTCTCTTTACTACAAGTTTATGTTTTCCTGCCAAGATGTGTGAATCTTGAGTGCTTTAGGTGACATCCCATCTATAGTAATGAAACTCCCACATTAGTGAGGGAGTCCTGCATGACATTCTGGTTGCCAAATTGGAGAAAAATGGATTTGCAGGATGGATTACTCACTGGATAAGGAATTGGTTGGATGGTCACACTTGATAGTTGCGTTCAATGGCTCAGTGTCCAAGTGGAGACCAGTAATTTGTGGCATTCCTCAGAGATCAGTGCTGGGACCAGTGTTATTTAACATCCTTGTAGGCAACACAGACAGTGGGATTGAGTACACTCTCAGTGAAACTGCAGATGACACAAACTGAGTGGTACAGTCGACATACTAGAGAGAAGAAATTCCAGAGGGACCTGGACAGGCTTGAGAAGTGGGACCATGCCAACCTTATGAAGTTCATCGAGGACAAGTGCAAGGTCCTGAACCTGAGTCAGGGCAATCCCAGGCACAAATACAAGCTGGAAGGAGAATGGCTCTGAGGAAAAGGATTTGGAGGTTTTGGCTGATGAAGGACTCGACATGAGCTGGCAATGCACACTTGCAGCACAGAAGGCCTTGTGGCATGCATCAAGAGAAGCATGACCAGCAGGTTGAGAGAGGTGATTTTGCCCCTCTACTCTGCTCTCGTGAGACCCCACCTGGTGTTGTGCATCCAATTCTGGGGCCCCAACACAAGGACATCAAGCTGTTGGAGTGGGTTCAGAGGAAGGGCACAAAGATGATCAGAGGACTGGAGCACCTCCCCTACAAAGACAGGCTGAAAGAGCTGGGACTGGAGAAGGCACAGGGGTACCTTATAACACCTTTCCTGTACCTGAAGGGGGCCTACAGGAAAGCTGGGGAGGGTCTTTTTATAAGGGCAGGTAGTGAGCAACCTGAACTAGTGGGAGGTGTCCCTGCCTGTAACAGGGGAATTGGAACTAGATGGTCTTAAAGGTCCATTCCAACCCAAAGAGTTCTATGATTCTAGCATGAGTAAGCTAAACATCATTTCATCTCTTAGCCTTAAGAAAATAAGCAGGGATGAATTGATCTCTCTAGCTGGAGATTGCAGCTGTCACAGCAGGGCTGCATTCTTGCTTTAAGGAAGTAATTATTTTCCTTTGGATGTTGTAAATTGCAGCCGTGCTTTGGTGGGGAATTAGAAAGCAATCTTTGAATTGCCCATTTGAAGTGGCCTCTGCGGGAAGAAATGCACAGGGTGAAAGGATGGGGCAGTAATTATTCACACAGTGGCTCTTCACTTAAATAATATTTTTTCCCTATTGTTTCCAAAGAAAAGCTTTAACGTGAGTTTCAGTGCTGGTCAGGCTCAGCTCAAGCTACCGGCAAAACTGGGGCAAGATTGCCACCTAGTGTCATTTGGTAGCTGTCATTTCAAGGTGTGTGCATTCCCATGTCGGATTGGAGAAACAAAGGGAGCAGGAGCCCTCAGTGTAACTTAGTTCCATCTCAGTTCTTTTATATAATGTTCCACTTCACAAATTGAATTCACATTTATCTGATGCGTTCACTAGAAGACTTCATTTCCTCAGGCAGAGATCTAGCAAATTCAGCTGTTAAAAGTTCAGTAGTGCAGTTGCTTGGCAGCTGGCAGAGTAGTTTTGTCCAGGTACGAGCAGATATACCCCACTGGTCAGTTGCTCTGCTCCTTTATGTACCAGCAGGTCAGTGCCCACATCTAAAGGTAGAATATTGTAATGGTCTTAGGGCTAATTTGTTTAACACCAGCCAGAGAGGGGAAGCCAGCACCAGAGGCATTTGATAGACCAGATAATGAGAAAGAGGAAAAAAAGTAGGACAGGGAGAAAGTTTAAATGAAATAATACATATAGTAGAGCAGAAGAAAGGGATATATAGGAGGCAATGGACAAGGTGGCCTTGAGAAACATCATTTCAGTTTCAACGAACAGGGACACCTACAGCTCCATCAGGTACTCAGAGCCCAGTTCAGCCTGACCTAGAATGGCTACAGAGATGGGGCATCCACCAGATCTCTAGGCAGCCTGTGCCAAAGCCTCACCAACCTTATTGTAAAAAAACTTCTTCAGGTCCAGTGATAAATCTCCCCTCCTTTAGTTTGAACCTGTTTCCCCTTGTTATATCACAACTGACTCTGCTACAGATTGTGTCCCTTTCTTCCCTACAGCCCCCTTTAGATACAGGTAGGCCTCTCTCAGGTCTCCCCAGAGCCTCCTCTTCTCCAGGCTGAACAGCCAGCTCTGTCAGCCTGCCCTTAACAAATCTTGGGCGTTCTTGTAGGTACCTGTGCTTGATGAAAACGATCTTATTGTATTGTTTTTCTCATCAGACTCAGTTTGCTTATCTTCAGCATTTTGAGGCTCTGGAATTAATGACTAGCCACTGTGACACAAGTTTTTACTGTTCTGTTGTGTTTGTTTGTTTGCTTGTTTTTTTTTTTCAAAATGCATTTAAAATAAATTATTAACTGCTTAAAACATGTCGAATTCATTAAACAACATTGTGAGCATAGTGAAACTTCATGCGCTAGAATTACGTTTTCATAATCAACTCTGCTTTGAAAGAAACCTTTCTTTTATTCTGAATTTTATTTTGCCTTGCAGAAAATGTCTGTAGTGGTTCCTCTTAATGCTAAGAATCTATTTCTTAACCTGACTACTGCTTAGAAGGCTATAGGTGGCATGAATAGGTGCTCCACTATGTTCTCATCACAGTTCTGCAGGAATTGTTTGTCATTTACATTCAGCACATATTTGCTGCCATTTGAGCAAGTGCTTAAAAAGGTCAAGACAGTGAAACTGAGCTGTACATAATAGCTCAGAAATCCAGTACATAGTAAATACAGTTGATTGGATATTTTACATCCTGAAACATCAATTTCAGAACCTGTTTTATTTACGTGAGAGTATTCACTGAGTTATCATAAATCTCTTCCTCCATTTCTCAAGGCTTTTATTCATGAACCGTGGATTTTGTCACATCCCTGCTGAATTATGATATGACTAGAAGGAAAAAAAAAAAAAAAAAAAGCTTTGTGCCAAATTCCTTTTCAATTTTGGTCGTACTTCTTTCAGATGTACATCACAAGCACAATTAAAACAAAGAGCAGCAGGCTAGCCAAACCTGTCTTGTGCCTGGGCACCCTGTGTGCTGCATTCCTCACCGGGCTGAATCGAGTTTCCGAGTATCGAAACCATTGTTCAGATGTGATCGCAGGCTTCATCCTGGGAAGTGCAGTCGCCTTGTTTCTGGTAAGCCTATCAATTCTTCCCCATTCCTTTTAGAAGTATGTGTTTGAAATAAACATAATATTGCTCCTCTCCTGTGGTCTCTTGGAGCTAATTAAACCAATTGTTAGGAACTAATTCTAGCCCCTTGTCATGAGTGTGTCATCAGAGAAAACTCCAATATGAAATCAAGCTGATATTAATTAATAAGGCTAATATGATGACATTTGTGTATTCATGTGTATTTCAAGATTATTTTATTTTAACTAACTGACCATGCTTTCACATGACTTTCCCGGAAAAATGCTTTGAAAATGGTGTAGGATTTCAGTTAATGACCAAAGAGAGGCAGAATGTTTGAGACTTGTTCCCTCACATGTTGCTAAACTGCTGGCGACCTTCTATGGGCAGAAATGTAGGGTACAGCGTTTTTCTGGGGTTCTGAGCAGTAGTCTTCATTTTCCTCTTTGTTTTTGACCACAGAAGAAGTGCAATAGAAAGGAAAATCAGGAGAAACTCCCTTGGAGACAGAACTACTTAAATAGTGAACATGGCAGTGATTGGTTAACAGTTGAACTAGATGGTCTTAGTGATCTTTTCCAGCCCTGATGATTCTGTGATTTGATTGGTTCATTAGGATAATCACATGTATTAACACGTGCCATCAGTAGCCTTTCCTCAGAATCTTGGAACAGTGTCCTCCTCTAGACTTAGAGCATTACTTACTCCACTGTTGATTGTGTGGTGTGCTTTGCACGGTGAGGGATCTCTTGCTGAGGATTTACCCCACACAGTACTCAAGGTGATTCCCACTGTTACAAAAGAACAAAATGTTCGTAATTCCATTTAAAAGCTATATCCTTCAAAACCATCCACTGTGTAGCTACAAACATTTTCTTTCTCTGTATACTCCACAATCACCATTCACCCAGGCTGCATCCTACTCCTTAGTCAGATCTAGAGAGCAGCAAAAAACAGCCAGCAAGGAACTGGCTGCAGGATATGCTCTGGCAGCAGATGTATGAGTTTCTGCATGCCTTCTTTCCATTCTGTTCCTAAACCCTAAGCAAATATGTGTAAGGTGAGGCCTTACTGGTATCATCGTGCACAACAGCAGACCTTGTAGGATGAACATTGCAGGAGTTGTGCTAGAATTATGCAATTGTGGTGCTAACTGAGCTTGGTGCCATCCAGATGTGAGGAATGACTAGTGACTGAATGAGCTGTTTTTAATGTTTGGAATTGGAAGTCACAATCTCAAGGGATTATTTGGTTGAGACAGTGCAGCAACAACCTAATCCTAGATTTTGTGATGATAAAGCAGACATGATGGGAGTCTGCTGTATAAAACAAAAGAAAGCTGAGAATGATTCAGCCAAGAGGATGAACCCTTTTACTAAGATACCCAGAAGGCCAACTATGGCAGTCAGTGCACTGCAGCCAAATGAGACAGACAATGCCTCTACTCAAAATCCCAAGGTGAAGTTATGTGCAAAAACTTGCAGTTGAGAGACCTGGGTGGGAATTGCTGTGAGTTACTTCTCTGGACAACACATGCTGACTTCATTATGTTTGTCTTCATTTTTCACATTGTGCAGGGGATATGTGTTGTCCATAACTTTAAGGGCACCCATGGAGCTCCTTCTAAACCGAAGCCTGAAGACCCACGAGGAATGCCATTAATGGCTTTTCCAAGAGTTGAAAGTCCTCTGGAGACACTGAGTGCACAGGTACTGTAAATCCTCTCACCCATACCATCACAAAGTATATTTTCCATATGGCAGACTAAAAACTGGAGCTGGTTTCATTCCTAATACTAAGCCCATTGAACAATGAGAATATGCATCAGGGGAGATTTTTTAAAGGCATTTATCCTTTGAGCCACCAAATTCTGTAGATCTTCTTCTCCTCTTGCACATCCAGAACTTAATCAGTAGGATTTCACATGCCTTCTGTGCAATGACAGAGTTTTGCTTAGAACAGTAAACTGAGAGAAAAGTAAAGATAAGTGTGTAATCACACTTAAGAATGCTTTTGGGATGTCTTAAAGATTTACTTTAAGATTTATAATCCTGAGGATAACTTGCGCTGTCCAGTGAGGATAAAAATTAGATTTTTATCCTTATTACTGCTCAGTAACTTCTAAATTAAGAAATATTATACTGTTTTCTATCTAAGCCATCAAAGAAGCCAACTTTCTCTCAAGTCTGCAAAAAAAAAAGCTAGTGTAATTATGATCACTGATGATGTTGTTGTTAAACAGCTAACTTTGGATAGCTTGTGTTGGCATAAATGAAACCTACCCAAAACAAACAAGCAAATGCCATCTGCCAAGAATTCCTTGGAACAAGGAGGAATTGTAGTTCATCAGTTGTCTGAGATGCCCTTGTGGAGTTTGTCCTTTAAATTATACTTCCTGCATTAGCTGTCTGCTTGGTTTGTGGCAAGGTTAGTACTATCTTTTGTCAAACCTTTGGCAAATTAATTGAAAATAATCATTTAAAGAAAATGGAAAAGATATTTCTAACACTTGGAAAAAAATTGCTTAATTGAATAGTCAGTTGTGATTGACTTGTAGCAAAACTCTGCTGGAAGACTTTCAAATGATTGTGCATCAAGTTTTCTCTTGGTGGACTTGCAGTCCAGAAACAAAATCCTTCTATACTGCACTGTATATGACAGAAAAGGTGAAAGCATTTACAGATTATGAAAAATTTTCTCTAGTCATCTATTTATAGCTTCTGGACTGAGAGGTGCAGGTAGGGACTGAGCCTTAACTGATGATGTGCGCTCTAATCAAGAAGGTAATTTTGTCTGATTCAGGGTATCGTTTTCTAAATGACCATACACCTAATAGGCAGGGGTTAAAAAAAGAAAGAGAAGAAAAATATGATCCTACTTTGAAGCCATTAAGAAGCTATTATAATTAATCCCTGGAGTGGCTGCTTGTTAGTGTTCCTTCTGACATAGGGAATATCCTTCTCTTGGAGATTTCTGCATCTGTCCCCACTCGTGTTTTCCTTGCATGCACACAAAACCTGCAGATGCAGTGTGATTTGAGGACAAACCAGCGCTGCTACCAAGCTCCTGGACACTGGCCTCCAAGAATCAGCACTGTCTGTTTTGACACAAAGAGGACTTTTGTGCCTGCCTGTGTTTTGCCATACTTACCCTCCACGTAAGGTTTCTTGATGGTTTTAATGGTTTTAAGCTCTGTAAGTTGCCTAGCATTGAGCTGTAGGATCTACACACGTACATCACACAAAGCCAAACATGTGAAATGACATTATGTTGTTTACAGACTCTTAGTGACTGAGGATAGGCGCATGAGATGGCATTAGCTATGTGACTGTAAGGAGTGCTATGAACCCACACTGACGTGTGCCTCTGGACAAAATTCAGTCCAGTTCGAAAATTCCCAGGAAAAAGTGGCACCTTGTTTTGCAGAGCAGCTAGTGAGTGTTCACAGCCCAGGAGCAGGGCTCAGTTCAAGCTGCCTGTCATAAGCTCGCAACAGACAGCAATCACATTTGCAGCCATTTCTTCCTCTAAAGCACTACGCTGGTTGGGTGACAAACGTCACATCTCTGCATTTGGTGAAGGGCCTTCTCATTCATTCCACACAACATATGTAAGTGACATGTACCAGTGCTCATGTGTCTGTGTTTTCATCTTTGCAGAATCACTCTGCCTCTATGACTGAAGTGACTTGAGATGGAAGACTGGCAGCAGAAGCTATTTTTTATTACCCTCCAGTACAATACTTCAAGACACACAGTTACTAAGTGTCAGACTGTGATGATCAGTATTATGTTATGTCTAGTTAGAAGCTAATGTTTTGTACATTTTTTTGTATGAGGAAGTGATGTAGCTTGCCCTGATTTTTTGTCAGCTTTAATATTATTATGCCAGAATTTAAAATCAAAATAGAAAAAGAAAAAAAAAAAAACAAAAAAAAACAAAAAAAAAAAAAAACAAAAAAAAACCCTTTTCTTGTTTAAAGTGTGCACTGAGGAATTACATCTATGGAATTGTTGGTGTTGTTATGTGATATTTGTACACGGATTTTTTTCATTTTTGAATTAATATATCTTGAGAAAAAAGAAAAAATTCACTTTTACCTTTTCTTACCATAACAAAGTGCTTCAACCAGCAGGTCAGATTCTGATCTTGGTAAGCTCTGAAGTAATTACATATATTTAACTCAGATGAAAATAATGGTGATCAGAAATCTAACCCAAACTAACAAGTAGTAAACATCCAGCCTTGATTCAGTGAGCTACTTAAGCAAGCCTTAGCATCACAGACTTCAGCTAGCCGTGCAGCTTCCAAACTTGGCAGATCTGATGTATGCTTAAGTATCTGACTGAATCAGAGCCTGGTTGTTCTGGTGTGAGTGATTGTGCTAGTTATTGAAGAATAACTGAAGTGGCGTATCCAGTCTGCAATATAGACAGACTGGACATGAAAATTTATAGTAGTAGCTGATAGCATGTGAGCTGACTATATCATGTCCCTAGATCCTCCCCTAGGCCCAGCCTAAGCTCCCAGTGGAACCTGGCTTCAGGAACTGACTATGGGGATATACAGCCATCACTGTGGAGCGGAGGCTGTGCTGTAAGTGTGTCATAACTTCATCCTAGATTTATGAGGTAACACTGATACAAGGGAAAGGTGATGCCACATCTTCTGTGAAGTGGCATTACTGAGTATTCAGATTGGCCTCAGCATTGAGCCAGTTGTGCCCTGACAATGTTGTTTTCACTGAGGGGCTTTGGTGAGTTTAAAAAAATAAAATAAAAAATTTAAATACCTGAACTGACACAGTCTGTAGTAGCAGCCTGCATTTTTGTAAATACTGCCATGCAGAATTTCTATCTGTACAGCTATCTCAAAATTCGGCAACACTCTTTAAGGAATAAAGAGATAATTGGGGGTTGGGGAGGCAGGGGGAGATCAAAAAGAATGCATATATCATGGTGAGAGCTGGGGCAAAGGCTTCATTACATGATGTCTCACTGTTTCTAGGCTTTTCCTGCATCTCATCCTTGTAGCATGGTGATAACTGCTGTGTGTATCCTTTAAAGAATGGAGCCTCTGTCTGTACTTTTACTGGAATGTTTACCTCACATTTCCATTTTGGTTCTTCGCTTTTTTTTGTATATTTTTTTCCAAAACAGATGAAAAAAAAAAAAAAAAAAAAAAAAAAAAAAAGTAGTGTGGTTTCTGTCTCTTCTGTATATTGCTGCACAAAGAAAACATGGGATGTCTGTTTGTGTCTTGTCATGCAGTAATTTCTCCATGTAGATATTTTCTCATGACTCTTCTGATGTCTGGGTCAGTCTTAAGAATGTCAGGATCAGACTTGGGCCGTACAGAACCATGAGGAATCACAAGAAGCGTTCTGGGGCCTTCACTACAACTTTGATCCAAATTCCCTCAAACTGGGGGAGAACTGCTGAATAAACTTGGCTGGTTCTGCTGTCTTAGGAAGATAATGGCATTAGGGAAGATCATCAGCAAAGAATACTCCATCTGATATGCCCAGTCAGCAGCACCTCATCATGCTCCAAAGGGCTAGCAGGGGAAATGAATACTAAAATAAACCCAGTTATATTCTGTATCTCATTTTTTGCAGATGTGGTCCATGGGGTTTTTTGGGTTTTTTATTCAGAGGTACAACCTTCTCAGTGTGCCATTTACAGCAAGTTTAGGCAGCTTCTGTACAGAGACCTAACAGTGGCTTCCACAGTCTCTAGTAAAGACATATTGCCTAAAATAAATACATTGCAATGCTGTGCTTTTCATCAGTATTGCATCACCTTAAAGTGGATGTACAGTTCTTGGGAGTACATGAAGTTTCATGCAAACCTGGCTTATGTAATGCAACTGGCAGCTGTAGCTGAGCTGCATGCTAGGGCCAAGTGATCCTGCTTGTGGATGTGGCCTCTCTTGCTCCCCGGCCAGTACCACAGGTGTACCCAGGACTCTTCTTGTTCCTCCTGGCTCCTTCTAGTATGTGAAAGAGAAATTAACATTGAGTAATGGCTGCTACAAGGGCCAGCAAAACTTAGAATACGAAAACTAGGTCACAGAAGAATGCCAGAAGCTACCTTGATGGCTGCTGAGAGTTCACTGCTACAGAGCAAATAGGTTTCAGAGCTCTGCCTGGCAATCACTATGTTCATATACTAATTTTTAGTAGAACAAGTGGAGTTCTATTTTAAGATGATGTCTGTGATGGGTTTTAGAAGCATTTCTAACACAATTTTGATTCTCAGAAAGGCAAGAGGAGGGGACAGCGAAGATGCCAGCATACATCCCCACACCTTCTCCAAGAATTTGCTGGCCTAGTCTTGGTGACTGAGCTAAACAGCATCACAAAACAGAGCAACACACACTCATTGAATCCCATTACACGGCTTGGAATGAAAGACGAGATGTTTATGAGCAGCATCACTTTAATTACCCCCACTAGACCTGCAGCTGTTAAGCATCACAACACTATTTCATTAAGTACAACTTCCACTTTTTCAGTATACAATAAAAAGAAACAAATCTGAAGACAAATAGATGCATTTTTATTGGTGATATTCATATCAGGTTGATATAACAATGAAATGGTTCTGCTCCAGCTCCACAATTTGGCCTTAAGAATCCAACCAAAGTGCAGTGATGCTTCCTGGTCTCACCGCTCCCAGGCAATCTTCAAGTTTGGGGGCAGTTCTGCAGCACACAGCTCATCGAACTTTGACATATCCTTCACAGGAGTGCTATAGAAAGTCAGGACATCTTGTGCACTGCACATCAAGTGGAGCTGTGAGTTGGGCACAGCATGACCAAGTTCTTCTGCAAGCTGAGCCAGGAGCCGATATTTCAACCTGTTGTCTTTCAGAGACGTCTGTTGCCAGTTGCCAGCAAGTGATGGCCCACAAATCTCCTTGACACGAGCCTCGAGGATGCTCTGTAGGTCCTCTGGAGGAAAATACTTTCTGCTGCGTGGCGGGGGACAGATCAGGCTGGGTTCCTTTTTTTTTTCTTGAGGAATTACATTGTCTTCTCCTACTTCTTTGTCCTCCTTCCTGCTGGCATTAAAGAAAAGTCAGTCACTAAAGCTGTGCCCAGACATTTAAAAACGCCTCCCAGCAGAGCCAACTGCCTGCAACGGCGGACCGTGCCGCCAGCCCCAGACGCAGCCCCAAGCTCTCACCTATGGCCGCCCCACAGCGCCCGAAGCGGCGTGCGGCCCAGCCCCATTCTCAACCGCCGTCCGACCACCAGCAGCCCTATGGCGGCCGCCATCTTGCGAAGAAGCCTCACACCTGGCCGGAAATGACGTTCTACACTTGACCGGAAATGACGTCAGCGCCACCTCCCGCCGTGCCTGACGGGAGCCGTAGTGCCGCTCCAGTGCTCTCGCCGTGGTTTGTCCTGCGGGCTGCGCTGCGGCGCACGGCGCTGGGACAAGAGCCGTTTTCCTGTGTTCTGTAAGAGCGAGAAACAACGCTCGGTGCAGCGAACGTTGATCTGTCCTGGCCGTAAGTCAGTCAGAAAGAAGCTGTGTCTCACGCAGTGTGCGCGGCAGCTGTCCCCCGCACGAACGGGAGTTACCTGGCAAAGCCAAGGCGCTCATTTTCGAAAGGAGGAGAGGGTCTTTTGCCGGATGCAGGGGATGCCTTTTGCACACTTTGCATCGTGCTGCAATGAGCTGCTCGCTGTGAGCAGAGCTTGTTGGAATTCAGGTGCATGGAGATGTAGGGGACCACAGCTGAACCAGAAGAGAGGTGCTGTGCCTGTCCCTGCTGCTGGCGCCTGAGTGCCTTCTGACAAGTCACTCAGTTCGTATATTACTGGTTTACCATGGTCAGGATGGGATGAATGCACACATGAATTCACAGCACTGGAACAGGCTGCCTGGAGAGGTTGTGGTGTCTCTTCATCGAGATAATCAAAACCTGTTAGGATGCTTTTCCATGCAACCTTCCATAGAGAGCCTGCTTGAGCAAGGAGTTGGACTGGGGGATCTCCAGATGTCCCTTCCAATGCCTCAATTCTGTGAGTGTGTGATTACTGTGAGTGTTGGATCTCTGTGATGCACTGCCTCTAAAATGGGTGGCTGTTAACAGGAAGGGCACCGTGAAGTTACAGGAAAATGATTCACCTGCTTTCTTTGCTGCCAGAGCAGTAGGTGCCAATGGCTGGGACAAGCAGAGCACCAGGTTGTGGCTGCGCAAGCTGGGTCCTGGGTGACCTCACCTCCATTACCAGGTAGGTGAGCCTGAAGGTGGAGTTCTGACCCCCACTTCCAGCTGAAGGAATAAGCTTTCTAAGAGGGAATGAGCACCTTCAGGCTTGTATGGTCTTCACAGGTTGGTGGACTGCCCCAGGGTCTTATCAGGTGATCAGTGTTTTATATTGCCTGGCAAACATTCTTTTGCTTACTTTAGTTCTGCTGTTTCTACCTGTACAGCAAATAGAACTACATTTTATTTTTCACAATATTTAGCACTTTTTTCATAATAGCTGTGTAATTGTGCTTTAAGAAAGCTTAGCATCGCTATCAAGTACGTGACAACATATCACAGGTCAAACGGTGGGCCTTCAACATCAACATAATTATTCAAATTGTGCTATGAGGGTAGAAATTACTCAAATTAAGCCAGCTTAAGTTCTTTACCAAGAGAGTGGTGAGGTGCAGGAACAGGCTGTCCAGAAAGGTTGTGGATGCCCTGTCCCTAGAGGTGAGGTGTTCAAGGCCAGATTGGATGGGGCCTTGGGCAGCCTGGTCTAGTATTAAATGTGGAGGTTGGTGGCCCTTCCTGTGGCAGTGGGGTTGGAGGTTCGTGATCCTTGAGGTCCCTTCCACCCCTGGCCATTCTGTGATTCTGTGATCAAAATCCCTCCCTGCACGCTTATGGCTGATTGCTCTGAAAATATTACAGTAATAGCACCAAGGAAAATAGTCCTCACATTTCTTATGCTACCCTAACTCAGTGCCTGGCAGCCTTGTCAAGCCAAACAAAATGCATAATTCTCTCTAGGAAGGATAAACTTTTCATGGCAGTGTTATTTAGCTTAGTGTAGAGCTTCTCACATACACTCTGAGCTTTTCTCAGTGTCTGTCTTCAGTTAGCAGGATTAACATCTCCAGTTTTATCATTACTGGCTTATTTCATTTAGACCTCTGCAGGATTTCCCAAGCTCAGCAACAGCAACACTTTGTCTTAATGTTTATGGTGCTGCTGAGAACCACAGAGGTATGAAAAAGAATGAAGGATTTATAAAAAATAAGGATTTGTGAGATATATTGGATTTTAATTATTGTTTTATTCACACAACTAATGATACACATAGGTTCTATAATTCAGGATTTGACTGCAAAGTGAGGTAATGGGGGTATCTATTTGAGTTACTAGGGAACTACTACTACTCTGGGAATTAAGTTTAAACTAGGAGAGTGGATTTGTGATTCAGTGTTAGATGTTTCTTGCGTGGAAAGAATTATGTTTTTTGAAAGTGTAAGTGAAAAAAAAGAATATCCCCTTTGTAAATTGTGGAAGCCAAGGTAGGAGAGTAAACTAATCCATTTCCAGTTTTGTTCAGGGAAAGGGAAATCAGGTTTCTTTGTTTTTCTTTCATTTCTGAGCATCTTCCACCTTGTGTAGAAGGACAGGACAAATGCAGATTCCTGTGCTTTCAATAGGTGTAGCTGGCAGTGAAAAGTGACTGTGTGGCAGCTGCGTCACTCTTCCCAGATGTGATATACTGTCCTCTGCAAGCCAAACTATTAATCTGAAAAAGAAAAGGAGGGAAACCCAATAGCACAGAGTGAGAAAGAGATGTAGAACAATAGTAGGAATGAACAAAGGGCATAAATAGGGGAAAATCAGTCAACTTCTGAATTCACCAATGTTACATATGAGCTAGATTAGTTCTGTGGCACTGCCAAGGCAGTTCCCAGTGATATCTCTCTGGGAACCACGTGGTTATGCAGAAAGGGGAACAATTTTTTCAGACCAACACAAAGTAGTTGTAAATCTACTTTACAAAACGAAATTATCCTGTTGCCTCTAGTAACAACCTTTGTTGCTTCTTGCATTAGGCTTCTGTCACACCAACCAAAACAACAACTTTGGTGCAAATTAAGCAGCACTTCTCTGCATCAAGGGAAAGGCCTCATACCTGAGCCCGCTTGCAGAAGGCTTCCTGTGCCGCCTTCTTGTTCTCTGATTTGCCAAGCCATGCTGCCAGGGCAGAGGCTTGCAGAGCTCTCCCATATGAGAAGGTCAGTTTCCAAGGCTTAGGCAGGGGGGACTGATTCATGGCATTCAGGTTGAGAGAAGCCTCCTCTTCACTTTGACCTCCAGACAGGAAGCAGATTCCTGAAAGACAGAGGCCTCAAGACTTAGAAATAGGTTGCTCCATCTGCCACACTTACTGACTATGACAGAGAAGTCAGCGTATCACATGTAGGAGCAAGTCTAGTAAAACTGAAAGGGTTTTTTTTGTTGTTGTTGTGGTTTTTTTTTTTTTTTTTTACTATAAGAACTACTCAAGAATCACCAGGAACAGCAGCAGGAACAGTGCGGAGGAGAGTAGTGACAGTTGCTACAGCCACATCCTGAGGGGTGTACTTCTTGGGGCAGGAATGCCCAGCTGTCACCATGTTGGGTTTCAGTAGTGTTCCTTCCAGGTAGACATGATGGTCGTTCAAGGCCTTGTAGACAGCAGCCAGAACCTAATGATTGAAAAGGAGGATTGAATACAAACCTGTCCTCAAATCTTTACCTCAACCTGCTGTGGAAAGACAACTTATTCCTTGGAAGCGTGAGAAGATCAAATCACATCTCACTTTCTCTTAGAATTTATTACAGGAGGTGCAGTCCTAGAGAGCCCTGGAGAACTTCTGCAGTACCAGAATACCATTTTTCATTTTGGCAAGGATTGTCCCTGCAACTGAGGTACTGAACAAAGAGTAAAGCACTTTATGTATCTTTCTGAGGTCAAGAATGTTTATATTGAGAGTTTGAATGGAAATCCAAAAGTCATGGATTCTACTGCAAGTTTGCTTTTTGCTAATTATTTGATGTGAATTCATGTGGTGCAGTTTTGAAGGAATTTATTCTTTAAAAATGCTTGAGAGCAATACAAACTCTGTGTAAGAATAACTAGTGATTTGTGAGGGCAAGCAGAGAATAAGGAATCTCTTTACCTTTTCTGTGACATACTGGCAGCGTTGGAGATCGTGGTCACCATCAGGTAAGACTTCTGGCTCCACAATGGGCACCAACCCATTCTAAGGAAGAAAAACATGGGAGTCTTTGTAAGTGTGGAAGAAAAAACTACTTGCCATCCGTATTGTGTTTGGTGGTATTTCTTCTTGCTTTACTGCCCTTCATCCTCATCTTTCCCAAAACACCCCCAGAGATCAGCCTTTCAAGATCTCTCATCTGTTATCACAGGGAACAGCAAGGAAGGGGCAACAGAATCTCAAGAATTTTTTCTGGAGGGTAGATACCTGCTGGCAGATGCTGGCGTAACGTGCCAAGGTGTTGGCATTCTCTTGGATGGCAAGTTGAGAGGGTGTTGTGCTACTGATCTTCAACACTGCACGCCACTTGCCAAAGTCAGCACCATCTTTCTTGTACTGGGCACAGCGCTCAGCCAGTTTGTCAAGTCCTGCAGATGAAAGAACAGTGCTTCACTGAGGGGATAGGATACAGCTGTGAAACATGCAGTGACACCAGCCATGGCTGCATCTCCTGCTGAGTCGCACCATGGCTTTCACTCTATCACTCACAACTGGGGCTTCTGAGATCTCACCTTACCTTGGATGGTGGTTTCTCCATTTGTTCCTGCCAGAGGTGCAGTGCCTGCATCCAGCTGAAAAGACAGCAAAAATAGAAAGGGTTACAAAATGACAGGAGTGACCCAGAGTGGGTCTACCTTTGCACATTGACTGTGACTGAAATACAGGGCTGAACACACTACTAGTGTAAGGGAGGGAAGGGGTGGGAGAAAGAGGTGCAGCAAAGGGGAAGAACAGAATTGAATTGGATACAAATGGCAATATGGATTTGGCTGTAGTGGATGACCTAAGAGTTCTTTTAGCATGAAAGGATGTAACTCACCTTTATTCCCACCACCATCCCTTTTTCTTTGATGATAGCTGGAAATGGCTTTCCACTGCTGTCTTTCTGATAGAGTGTCTCATGGAAAAGGATCACTCCTCCAATGCTCTTGCTGATGGAAGCATCAGAAGAGAAGAGGATTTCTCGAAAAGCACGACGATTCTCCTCTGTGTTTTCCACGTTGATCCTCTGCAGCCTATTTCCCATGGTACCTAACAAAGTTGCCAAAGGGCAGGCAAATGTATCAGGCTTTGCTACCCTCCTAGCCACCATATATACTAAATAGAAAGAACTTGGGCTATAGCGTAGAGCTTTCCTCAACACACAGTTTGTCACCTTCTGCTGCTTCAGATGCAGCTCTGGGTAGCTGAGCTGTCCCTGATCAGTTAACAGTTTTTAAATGTTTTTTATTTACTCCACTGAATTCAAAGATGAACCAAAATCAAAAGTCTTGGGTATTGCAAATTGATTGCTTTTCGTAACTCACCGACTGATTCATCTGCGGCTAAGATCCCTTTTCCTGAAGCCACAATCCTCTGAGCAATGTCTGAAAGAGCCTTCTTCTGCTCTGGAGATAGAGCTGGGAACTGGTGGGTCATGGTGACTTATCTGTGGAAAAAAAGGGCAGTTATAAGATGAGGGCAGACTGAACAAACAGTCCACCTTAGACACTAGCCTTGAGTATGCCTATTGGAAGCTTTGTGCTTGTCCAGCCCATGCTGTTGAAGACATATGTCCAGAAATCTAGTGAGTTGTTCTTGTGTCTCTGGCAAAATCAGAACAGGGAAGAGCAGGAGCCACATCTAAACATATCTTAGTCAATCAGAAGGTGTGAATGACTGTGTATTTTATACAGATTTGCTTGGAGGCTAAAGGAAGGTTATGCTCCATCCCCTCCCCCCCAAAACAAATGTGTTGAATTTACAAGCAGGCACACTGCAGACGCTGCATAATTCTTTGCAAAGCACTTGCAGCCTGTTCGTTCTAATAAGAAAACCGACAGCTTTCACACAGTTTGCTTTGCTTTCCCCTTTTCCTAATAATTCTTCTCTCATTCCCTGTCCTGCCTTCACAGTATTTTCTACTTTGTCTGACTGCCTTTTCAGTTCTTCTCTCCTGCTTTGTTCTCTGATTCTCTCCTCCCCATATCTAAGGACTGTAGAGCATTGCTTACTCTTCATGAGAAGTGGGAGGTTAGTAGGATTCACCACCCATTTTTGTTTTCTCACTTCTGGTAGATGCTTACCAGATACACATAACCAACCAGCTCCTGAATTTCAGGATCTGTCTTGTTCTGACACCATATCTGATCTTAGTAAATCTCTCATTAAACAGGATTAAATTTTAGTTTAGCATCTGAGTAGCCCAAGATAATTCTCTATACACATGTGCTTGTGAGTCTGAGCTGGAGACTCTCTTTTCCTCTGTCATCATCTTCTATAGCTACAGGACAACCAGTCCACTAGCACATGGTACATCCATGAGATAAATCATTAAAAACAACACCAAAGAAGCACCTGATTAAAAACAGTGACTTGCTATGCAGACTGGTGAGGAACAACTCTATTTGTTCACAGCCTCTGTGAAAAAAGCTTGCAAATTGCAGGTACTC